GCTTCATATATAGATGTCTATGTATTTGCTTGTTTGTTTGCTTTTTTCTTACCATTTATGATTTAAAGTGGCATGTATGTAAATAAATAAACAAAAAGTTGTGGAATTTCATTTTTTGCATTTTCACAAATTAAATTCGGTTTCACAAATTTGAAAATGGGTTTTAGGCAAAGCCTGCCTCCACTGTCTAACATGGTTTTACTTTATTCAATTGTGAAAAACAAAGAGAATGAACGACTAAAAGCTGGAGGTGAACTTTTCCTTAACTGCCAAATAAGCATCATCCTCATTTCTTTTAAAAAAAATATTTTAACAATTTATGAACAAAAACTATTCCAGAGAAAAAGTGCATTACAAGTTCGTAAGCGCCTTTCTTTTTAAAATGATCCGTCACTAGTCGACCTCTGACAGGTGTGAAACCAGCAGCGGTTGTGTTTTATTTAAGTCAGTGAGTCATGATGATGTGACACAGGAGCCTGAAACCGAAGCAGCTAAACGGCATTCAGCCATCATTGGTATTATTATAGACGCCTGTGATCCAGTTAGAAGCCACATGTCCCAGTAGGCCTCAAACTTTCTGATCCTGTTGCAATGAGAGCTGCACAAAGAAAACAAAGACAGCAATACAACATGACAACTGATCTTATCATAACTATCATGTAGCTCTATGTAGATATGGATAGAACTTATTAGCAGATTTAATTGTTTTTATCCAGTTTACATGTGTGTTCAATAAAGCTGTGCGGTTTATTTAAACTTGACTAACTTCTAGACACATCATTGTAGATGCTGCTGCCACCCAGTGGACAGAAGACCGACAGGCCTCATAACCATTCAGTGAGTTTCCCCCCAAACACCTCCTGTGTTTCCCTCCAGCCCAGTGATGATCAGCTTCAACAAACACATTTCTTACCTCACAAACCGGTCGCACACAGAAGCAGAACGCCGCCACACTTTGTATAGTTTTTGTCGTTTATTTCTTTCTTCAAGTTACAAGGGAAGCACATTTATTCATTTTTTGCCTTTTAAAAATCAGGGATATCTTGATCTGTATTCTGGACATAGGGGTTAAAAGATAAAAAATAAAAGCATTAAAACAAATTATAGGCATCAAATATATGTGTTTCATTAATAAAAAAAATACAGAATACAACGATGAGTCCAGATGGCGGCAGACAGCGAGGCTGGACAGCGGTTTGTGTTTGCTGCACGTGAAAACTGTGACATCAAGTCGTCCTAAGAACTCACACCGACGCATATTTGGTTACCAAGACGAATTAGAGCCATTTAACGAGGTTATTTAACGTTTTTAATGCCACGTCTAAGTATGGCAAGCGAGTTAAACCAACTCATATCGTCTAGTGAAGGTTAACATCCTCTTGCAGGACACCAAGGAAGAGGTTATAAATTTAGGTTTGGATTATTTCTCTTCAAACGAGAACAAACGGCTCCTTCTGATTGGCCGTCGGTGAGATTCTAATTCTTGTTTCCTTACAGAAATAACACCTGCAATGCAATGAGTGCATTTTACAAACATGCATCAGGCCCAGAGGCGGCTCTGAAACACGGACGAGGTTCAGCCGTCACAGCTCTGGTAACAGCTCCTCCACGATAACAGGCACATCAACCTTGTTCTGGGGGTGAAACCAGGACACGAGAAACTTTGAAAGCATCCTTTGATGAAGAAGAAGAAACTTACGCCTGAACTGAAATTTGAACTAATTTGACCCGTTGAGGAACATTTGTTAATAAACTCTTCACCTACAAATCCAGTCTGAGGAGGGGCTTCCTCGTTTTTTCCCGTTAAGGTTTTGGTCCCACCATTTTTAGAAAACAACAGGCCGTCGACAGCGTGAGAAAGTAAATGTTGCTGAATGGCTGACAACGTAAAAAAAACCAACCTGTGATGGAAACATTTACATAAGAAGAGGGGGGTGCAGAGGAGCGGAGGACGTCTTCGGAGGATCTGATTCAACAAAGAGTCATCCCACAGGACAGAGGTGTGTAATTCTCTCCTCATCTTTACAGGACAAGTAAGTTTTTAAACTAGTGTATTATATAAGTATTAAACCATACATTATGATAGGATTCACCACCCGCAAAAAAACTAACTATCCCTACGCAAGTCAAACACCTATTATAGTTCAACACAAGCAATAGGCAAAGTTAAGAAGTTCAACAATTCAACAAGGACCTGGATAATCCCCCACCGGACCCAGCCTGACTCACAGAGGCGTCCTCTTCGTGTCTACAGCGAAACAGCTCCACAAAGCCCTACACAAACTTTACTTCTGTGTCATGCCACAATATACAAAGATACTCAGAGAATGACAAACACTTTCCTAAAACGGAGAGGAGCAGGAGGAGGAGGAGGAGGAGGAGGAGGGTGCCGAAGAAGATCAGGATGGTGAACCTTTAGATTTCTGCTGAGCATCGGGGGGGCCAATACAACACAGGATATCAATGGGTTACATTCATGCATACACACACACCGAGACACTCACACACACACATGCTGTGGTGGCGTTTGTGTGACTGGACGTGGTTGATGCGCTGGTTGTTTGATGTGTCGGAGGGTGGTTCTGGTCGGAGAGGCAGCCGCACCAGTCTGTAGGCGGCCGACGCTCTTCGGCTCCTCGGTGGTGACGACTGTGACTCCTCGCAGTGACAAAACAAAAAAAAGAGGGAGAAAAAAAAAAAGGGGCTCCTGCTCTTTTGAAAAAGAGACCCGCTCAGAAATGGTGGATTGTCATCCTGCAGTCTTCTCTCGGTGAGGGAAAGATGCCCGATGATGTGGAATCAAGAAGAACGAAGCTTGAGCGTGGTCGATGTGGTGACTGGCGTCCAGTGGTGAAAATGGGGAAACAGTCTAGTTTTGTGTTCGTGTTGTTCCTCCTGTGCTGGTCTCACAGATCAGTTTGTCCAGCAGTTGTGAAAACCTCAAGTGAAGCCATAAAAAAAA